TGCAACGAGAGACTGTCAAACACAAAAGTTGCAAAGATGAAGTCGCTTCTCTTTCAAATTTTCCTGTTCCACCTTAAATGGTGCCGCATTACATTCTGGCACCTCAGGCAGAATTTAAGGTGGAACAGAAAATAAACGAATAAGAAGCTGGCGAATGAGAAGTGACTTCAGCCTCATAAAATCGTTGAGCGTTGAGAGACATTTTACAAGAAACTGTTCTACTTTTGAGGAAAAGTTTTCTGGCGGAGATGGAAGAAAAGCAGCTATAGCTGAAGCTTAAAGCAGAGTGAAGTAAGTCTGTGTTTTTCGTTTCGATTTTTTAGCCTATACTAGGACATTATCACACACTGAGACATGTGTTTTTGTTATGTGCTGTCACAGACTGTCCGGGCGCTGCACTTACCCACTTCCACGTTCCGCCGTTTACATTCCGTCAACATTACTTTATAAATTAAAAATTTAGAAAATCGATTTTTGACATTTGTTTATCGATTCAGAATCGTCCACGTCTGCATCGCGATACATCTAAGAATCGATTCCTCCCACCACCCCTTAGATTAGCCTCATAGCTCCAGTACAAAACTCAAGAAGCAAACTTCACACCAAACCTTCCTTGGTTGATCATGCATTTAAACATTTTTGCCAAACGATCTCTTTACGTCCAGCAAACATACATTACAAAGAAAAATGAACAGAAAAAGGTTTATTTTTTCACTTTATTGTTTAAAGTTGGTACAAAAACCCATCAGATCAGAAACATTCGCAGCTTTTCGCTGTAAAAGCATGGAGGATTCTCCAGAGACAGGCAGAACTAAAGCAATGCCGTTAAGGACAGGGACCATGCACACAAAAACAAACAAACAAACAAAACCAGGTGACTGGGGAAAAAGCCCTTGACACAAGTTTCTCCACTACAGAGAGCGAGAAACGAAGGATAACGTTGCATGTGTTCCCCCCACTCAGTGGAATGGAGGTCCAGAGAATGAGAAAGGAAGGAGTGATGGAGGTGAAAAGGGTTTTTTGTCAGTGAGGTATCCTTGGCTGTGGCGCTCATTGCTTGGAAATGCTGAATAGGTGGTAAAGGGCTTCAGGAAGAGTGCTTAGCTTAGCATGTTAGCGAACATGTCAAAGGTCAGCTTCATTAGCGAAGGCTTTAGCCCTGCTGGCCAGGAAAAATGGGGAGTTCTCCCTGAGCTGAAGGATTCGGTAAAAAGCGGCACCGAAGCAGTTCAGAGTCAATCAGGACAGCAGGACCCTGGCTGGTTATCACAGACAGACAGACAGACAGGCAGACAGACAGGCAGACAGACAGACAGATACATCTGTAGCACGGTGAAGTAGTCTAGAACCATATTTCACAGCCCTGTCCTTGAGGTCCACCCCTTTTTTGCCCTATCCCAATTCTCATCTAATAGCATGTTGAGTACATTTCAAACACTTGAATACCCAGTGGTGTTTGTCAACAAGTACTCAAATACTTTGTCAACAAATACTCAAAGTTTGTCAACAGACTCGAATATTCAATGGTGCTCGTGTTTGTCAACAAGTACTGAAATACTGTGTTTGTCAACAAATAATCAAATGCTCACTGGTGTGTCGACAAGTACTCAAATACTTTGTGTTTGCCAACAAGTACTTGATTACTAATTGGTGTTCATTGACAAGTATTTGAAAACTTGGTGTTTAGAAATAAGTACTCAAACACTTGTCTGTGTTCCTGAATGCTCGTTCTCAATACCACCCTTAAAAACAATATTTACATTTCCAAATTAATCATTATTTTGAGTATGTTCATTCATTTTTGATATTTTTAATCAAAACATTCGTTTTCAATTTCTAACACATTTTTATACATATTTGTACCTCTCTTTATTTGAAAGATGCCCTAAGAGACTGTTCAGATGTGCTCTAACGTTAAGTCAGATAAGGAGACATAAGTCTGACTAGCAGTGATGATAAATAAGTTAGTTTAAGATGTAAATCCTTACTTATCAGTGTTGTCAGTTTAGCTTGTTTCCTGAGCCAAGTTCATCTTCAAAATCAAAATAACTTTGATAAGCGAACAATCATGCTCAGGCTTGACGACTCGGCAGGTAAGTGTTTCATACTAAACTTGTGTAGATTAGCTAGCCTGCTATCTCTATTTATTTCAGTCTTTCAGCTAAACGACTGAACGTGCACTCGCTCAACATCTTCACCTTGATGTCGTTCAAAGGTCAAAACTAGCTAAACAAAAGCTTTAGCTAATGTTACCTGGATAGGACAATGTTTTGAAGCCTAATATCAGTCCATTGTAAAATAACTGCCATTTTATGATAAAATGTTGTGTTTAAAACAGTGATAAATGTCTCCAACTCTGAAAAAGGTCCATGAGTGTTCTAGGATTCTTTTGGGGCCTAAAAGGTTAACATATGATGTAGCTAACATAATGAACACACACTGGAGTATTCAGCCCTTCCCCCAGAGCATCTGAACCAAGCTATTAAAGGAATACTACAGTATTTTTCAACCTAGTCTGGCTCTGCTGAAGCTGTAGAATATGACTGATTACCACAGACAATCTCCCTGTGCAAAAACGACAGTGATTAAAATGCACCACAACATTAGAATCCAAAGGGCTGAGACAACCTGTCCATCTGCTGCTGTTATAAGACTGTTTCAGGTATTGAAGTTTCCAAAAATGATTCACTGCTTCAAAGTACTCTAAGCCCCACGTGCTGGATTGATTTGGGTGTTGCAGTGTGTTTGTATAACTGGGTTGCTGCAGAATGCTTAGAAGCTTTTATTGAGGTAAACAATACGTTTGAGCCTTTTTGCATTCAAACGCAGCCATTTTCACTCTTTTATAAAGCATATTGGTGGGACAGTGAATCTGGTTTCACTGAGTGTTGCTTAAATCAGCCAGTTAATATGAACCTAAATCATGACAGCTGATTCGAGATTGAAACACTAGTTCCCCCTGGGGGTCGACCCTTTAGCGTTGAACCACAAAACCTGAAAAGTGATGGCGATTACTTTGAGACGTCTCAAAGCACTATTTGGAAACGGGCATCGCAACAGCCTCAACATGTTTCACATCACTGAGTGCGTTTACATGCATATATACTCATAATTGGATTTCTGCATTTATCTGATTATTCAAATGGTCGTGTAAACAGCTTACTCTGATTTCTTAGCTCGGAGTAAGGTCTCTAAGAAATCCGATAAAAAATGCTGGATTTTAGCTCAGTAATCAGATTTCTCAGTGCCTGTGAACTCTTACTCTGATTTCTTTCACAGACCACCAGAAGTAAGCAAGCAGTGCTGCTGCGAGACGCAGCAAAACACTTTTGGAACGACACTAAAACGAATACATGCTTGACGAAATGAAAGACTGAAATATTCTTCATCTTATAGATGACGCATTTTCATATTTTCAGGTAAAGTGTTTTTAAAAGATTGACGTTCGAGTTTTACTTTACGTTTACATCACGTCTTCTGTGAGTTTTCTGGCTGGTTGCAAAGCAGAAACCTGATCACTGTCTGATTCATGTAGACCTGGAGTTCCACATTATCTGATTACTCAAGTGCATAAACACGTTGATCGGATTAGACAATCTGATTTTCTGCAGTTATCGGACTATTAAGTGCATGTAAACACGCTGTTTCAAAAAGTAGTTCAGTAGTTTCCTCGAACAGTTTTCTCTCATTAGTACAAGTAAATCAGCATTGTCTGTGGTAATCGATGGTACAGCTACAGATACGGCAGAAAGAGAAGAGGGTTGAAAAAGATCAGAGCGGAACTTTGGACCATTTGATGGGCCTCAAGGACTAGACTGGAAAACACAGCTTCAGAGTACCTACAGTCACAAAGTACACACATCACAGTAAAGAAGACATTCAATCTGGAGGGCATACATTAGACATTACACCCACACACCACATCCCTTCATCCACACACTTCATGATATACTGAGAAGGATCCCAAACCCCTTTGGCAGCGCTTATACAGCACTTTAACGCTACTGATATTGTTAACCTACATGAACACAGTCGGAATTCCAGAGGCGATAAAAGCATATTTTAGAACTTTATAATACTCGTCTCGTCTTGGGAAGGGGTGAGTCAACTGGGGCATCATCTAAAGACAAGTCTGAAGGTAAAATGCCTTCACTGCAGGGAATGGGTTCTAATCCTCTACGGGTTGAAGCCATCAATCAAATAAACAAGGAGGAATCATATGAGGTGTGTTGTTTACATAGTGAGGTGAAAGATCCTCTAGAGATGTGCGCTTAGGTCATTTAATGAGGAGGCCAATGACTCCGTTCATCCCAGAAGGAAGATGTTCATATCCCAGAGGACTCATTTGGTCAGGAGGGTACTGTTATTTCATTCCAACAGGACAGGCACTCAAGTACATTCATGCAGACAAACAGATAAAACAGACCTTCTCAAAGGACCAACAGGGCATGTGGTTTTGGCCTGTGCTTAAAGGAAGAGAGGCTTGCGTCACTGTAGAGGCATTTATACATTTATGCTTCTAGAGCTTTCTGGAATTATGAGGGCTGATATTCCCAAGGATACTGTTTTGGTTCAATGCCCTCAGCATCTTGGAGATGGGGTGGGTGGGGGTGGTAGATCACATTGCATTTTTCCTGAAAGCTGAAAAGTGCGAGGTGGACCACCTTTTTTCCTCTGATGTTTTTCGAAGGCTTCTACGATTTTCGCTGTTGCCAATCCTGATTATTGTTAACCGGCTGTGTTTTATTGCATTTACTGCATTTAGCATTTGGTTAACCTTGTCTGGCTTAGTTAGATAGCTGTATTTATAGGCAGCAAACTCTGGCACTTGCCCTTTTAGAGAGTGACATACTTCGATCACTGGTCACTCTGAAGATGGCAGTATACTTCAAATGACAAAAGAGCTACATGAAATCAAACTACCACCAGCATGCTTCTGTAAATATACCTAAAAAGAATGTGCGTGCGTCTTTCTAGGCTACGCTGGCTTCAGTGTTTTCAGGGTCTGCGAGTAGAGCCGAATTCATTGACATCAAACAGAAAACAAGTTAAGAAAAAGCAATGACAGCAGTAAAAGAAAAACAAATACATTAAAAATAAATACATGTAAACAAACAAACAAAAAAAAACAGAAATGAAACAATTCCACTTGCAGCAATGCAGGCTACCACACGGCATTTGGACCAATCGCAGTCAGGGGGAAGGCTCAAAACAAACGTCTCTGTGCTTTGAGTTGGTATGTTGCGCCACTGCATCACTTGTTCTGAGACCTCCCCCTGACTGCGTTGTGGTCAAAAAAGCCCTGTAGTGCCACACTGGTGGTCCTGTGGTCCTTTATTGCAGTGGTTTTCAAGGAGGACCCCCAGACGATCCAGATTTTGCTCCAACCTGACTCACAACACACAGGGATAGAGCAGATTTCCCTGAGGACCAGTTTGAGAACCACTGCTCTATTGCACTTGTCTGCAAGGCTGGTGTCCCATTTCTCTACCTGGCATTCAAAAAGGTACTCACAAGTGCCCTCTATGTGCTGTTAGTGTGGCCTTTAGCGAGGACTGCATCAATGCACACTCAAAATTCCTTGAGATACAGGTGAAGATAAATGGCCAGCGCATTGGCTCGTTCACACTTGTGAGACCAACACAGTGGAGAACATATACAGATGTCAAAAATGCATTTGTTTTGTAATATAGCTTGTCACTAACCTGTATTAGGCTCATAATTAGAGCTGAACCACTGTATATAAAGCAAATTGGCTCATTTAAAAAAAGAAATGATTTATAATCTTGCTGGGTATGGTACATTCTAAGACTCTGTCCCAAAGCCACACTTTAAACCAAGCACCGTTGGAAGTCTTTTTGCCCTTTAGGTCCACACGTGTGGACTTGTAGGAGGGCCACAAAGTGTAGGGCACCTATTGGGACAGGCCTATAGAAGTTGTTTCGCTTCGAAATGTCTTTCCGTCCAAGTATACTGCCAGCTTAAGAGTCAGGGTGACTTTGTGCAAGATCTATGACTGAATGTTAGATGGATGACTTGGCTTAGAACAATTTATTTGGCTTGAAGGTCTGCCTGGAGCACTCCACCCAAAAGGACAGCCAACCAGGGTGAACAATAATGTAAGCAGCTCAAAAAGTGTAAAATGTGACTCCCCCCCCACCACTTACACTATGGAATTGAACCCTCGGAGTGACGCTACCTTTTTTATACAATCAAACAATGGTTTATTTCAACCAAGACAGCACTTCCATTTAACACCCTCAAACTACAATTCAATACTTTCAGTTCCTGCAGGTTACTGCTTTCGTTTGAAGCCCTCAGACTATTGCTTTGTAGCGGAAGTCTTCACACACTTGCACGAGTGTGTGGGCTACACACACACTGAGCACACACAGCCAGGCTGAAATCAGCTCTGAGTTTCCTAGGCTAGATGTGGGACGATGAGAAAATAAAGAAACAAAGACAGGTAACTCCAAAAAACACACAGCTATAACTTTACATTTGATTAACATTGATACTATGCATAAATAAAAATGTTAAGTATTTTTAAGTTAGGCATATTTGATTTACATGGAAAACATCTCTAAAATCTAAATGCAACCTTTTGTTTGTTTAATGCAGCCATGACGGTGATGGATCTGTTGTTGAGTGTAAATAGTTATGGTAAGCTCATTACAGACACTCTTATATAAAGTATGGGTATTGCATCACTAAAGTCAAGTAGAATGGTATTCTATTAGCATATTAGCAAAGAAACACTGTATACATCACTGTACCCCCACTGTAAGTCCTCCAAGTCCAATCCCAAACACCAGAGATTCACAGGTTTCCTGTGGCTGCCCAGATTTTTCGGTTCATATTGTATAGCCCCATCTTGTTTTGTCTTTTTTTTTGCCTCATTTAGGTACATTTAGTTTCAATTGAAAATATAGATTTCTCTGTTTTTCTTCTGCATTAAGAAAAAAATCACTAAAAAAGGTCACTTATAAAGCAGAGGAAATAAAAAAACAGTTCAATAGTCCAGGAGAGGTGGGGTGAGAGAGATACAGACAGATATAGAAAGTAAAGCTACGTTCACATTGCAAGCTTTATCACTCAATTCAGACGTCTGGTTGGATCTGATTTTTCTGCCTTTTGATGGTTCATATTCATGTTTGCAAGTGACTCATATCCATCACTAAAGTAAACACAACTGAGAGGACCTGCCAGCACTGGTGGTGATCACATCGACATGCGCAGTGTGAAGTAAACAAATTAATAATAGTGATTCTTCTCGTTCTCCTTAACAGTTGCGTGAGCACAGCAGTCTCGTGGGCCCAAACGTAATCTGGTAACGACAACATCTGGGGACAACAGACGTATTAGGATGGGAACAAACGTGTGAAATTACTAAACCAATCCAGTGAAGGTGTAGCTCAAAGTAGGAGAGGATGGTGCACTCATCAACGTCAGACGAACCTGCCCTCACCCATTTCAACTCACCACTTGGAAGTGCATCACATCTATGCTATATAGTTGGCCACTTGGCAGAAAGGGTCAACGGTAACAGTGAGAAGCAGATTGTTTAATGGAACGCACTTGTTTCAGTGAGCTAATTGGCAAACGATGCAAACTTTGCAATGCAAAATGTCTTGAAATGGTAAGCATTTTAAAGTAGTTTACTGCTTACAAACAGTGTCATTCGCCATTATTTCTGGGTTTCAAAAGCAAAATGTGACAGGTTGCAACAATTTCTGTGCAAATTCTACTGTAAGACAAAAATGGTGTTCACTTAATCACTTGCCTCTCCGAGGGCTCATCTAACACCCTTCACTTGAGCTAATAAAGTAAAGGAACAGCCCTCAAGATGGTGCTCAGGATTCCCCCCAAGGATAAATGACAAGCCCAAGCAAACGAGGGCTTGTTAAAATGGGTACTGAAACAGGGGATGAGTTAGCATGGCTACAAGGGCTGCATTTCACTGTACTTAACACTGATTGGTTTGTAGAGAACTGTCAGCGTGTTTAGCGAGTCGAGCCGTTTGAATAGAGAAAAATGAATATCCTTTCTGTCTCATTCTCTCAGAAAATAAGGTACACGTTTCAGCATTTTATCCTTCTTTTCCAAGCTGAGTATTTACTTTTTTTGTCGGACCAAATTACAATTAAGGCAATTTGTCTTGTCCTCTCCTCGTTTGGTACCGCAGCTCTTTTTTTTTTTCTTCTTCTTCTATTGTTTAACAGATGACTATAGTCTGCCTGTAATTGCTCCCAAAGTCCAATAACTTTCTGTAACTGCTCCCAAAGTCCAAACCATCAAAAAAGTGCTTTCATGCTGCAAACGAACCATGGCTGAGTTTGATCCAGACCAAGACCGGCTCTTTTGGTCGGACCAAGTCCATTGGTCCAGACGTGGTCCAAGGCACCTTTCACATCTGCTATTTGTGGTTTGGACCAAATCACAAAGTACAAAGATCTAAACCAAACAATGCGGGTGTGAAAGCGCTCTTAGAGAGAACTACGTATACGCTCGCTACGCTTGTTAATAGTGGATTTCGCCACAATTCAGCACCAAGAGTTTAACGAGTTGTCCCCAGACGTGCATTCCTTCCTCTACGCATGGCAGACTGCTGTAACAGTACACTACATCCTGTTGTATTACAGTGTGAACATACTGCTTGCACCAAAATGTGTTTGCACTGTTCACATTTAAGCAGAAAAAAAAAAAAATCAGATTTGTGCCATTTCAACCTCTTAATGTGAACACAGCTAGAAAGAGAGAAAAAAAGAGAGAACGACAGAGAGAGAAGGGGTTAAGTAGAGAGACAGGAGCATGGAGAGGGTGGGGGGGGGCCCTTCAGTTTGCTTGGGTTCAGTGGGTTCAGGCCTAAAGGGTCAAAAATCAGCATGGCTAGTCCACGGGTCCCTGGAAGATGAGTCTGACGTATCCCTGCTCTCCGCTCAGCTGCTGGGCGCAGAATGGGCAGGCTGCGTGGAAAGTATGCGTGCCGTGGGGCAGTGGGATCTGGCTCCAGAAGGCCACCGTTTTCTCTGAGCACACATGGCCACAGGGGCTGAAGGCGTGGGTGGGCGGAGCCGCGTCCAGATAGAACCCTGCCTCACAGCCCAGCCACAGGGGCACGTACGGCCCCCTGGCCCGGCACATAGGGCACTCACGCTCACGCACGTCCCGCTCTCGCCCCCCGTCCCGCTCGCTGGAGTCCCGCGTGCCCCAGCTGTGGTAGCCGTGCACGTGGCCGCAGTGCAGGTAGGCCCAGGGCTGCTTCTCGTCCACCGTGTCCTTGCGGCGCATGCTGGGGAAGGCCAGCGTGTTAAAGCCAACAGGACACTGAGGTCGCGCCGCGTTCAGCTCCTGCCGCAGAGCTTCCAGGTGCTTGAGCGTGGGCGTGCGCTGAAGGCCCTCAGCTGTGCGCCACAGGAGCGTGGCTCCGCAAAGGTCGATCAGTGATCCATCCACCAGCTCCTGTGTCTCGCTCTCCACCTGCAGGGAGGGAGAGAAAGATAGAATAACGTAAGATGTATATACATACACGAATAAGTACTTCATGTATTCAAGTGGGTGCATCTTCTGCCGATGATGTTCTTCATTTCTTTACGAAAATAAAGGGATTAAAGCAGTAAAAGGACCTTCTCTGTTTCATTTTACTTGAATTTAAGTACTTTGCCACAACACACATATGAGATAAAGACAAGCTTTATGTCCTTTTAACTCAATAATTATTAAAAGTTGTGTTTTAAATGAAATTATTGAATAATAAGTTCTAGAACAAGTGTCAAACCTTCAGTCTGTGTGGCGGGACTGGCCTGACAGCTGGCAAGATCAATTTCGGATGCATGTTCTAAATTAAAATAATCTAAAATCATTTACTGTAATTCACTGGCTGCAAAATAATGACCGACACAAAGCTTGACGAATCACTGCTTGGAAACCATCTCTAAGCAATACTCTTTTTCTGTGCAATCAATTTGCATTCCTTGAGGTTTGCTAAAAACTCTGAGAAAAATCTAAACTAACGTTATGCTGACCAACTTTATTCTGGCCGTCTAAACGGTTTTGAAGGTGATATCCGTTGGCTCATTCAGAATGTGTTGTTCACATAAATGGCAACAAAATAAACACATTTATTAGTAGTTGATTGTTGGCCAACTACACTGATTTTTTGTCTAACCCACCTGACGCTGGACCCTGTGTTATATGGCTGGTTACCTAGGTATAGAGCTTGATACCCCTGCCTTAGGATGTGGACATACAGACAAGCTTAAGGAGTTAATGTTTTAAAATCCTACAGGAAACATTACAGCAGTAAAAACAAGTTTCTCATTCTCTGCACTAATAAATCTCTGCCTGATGACCAGTGTAGTAGGAGTGAGACTAAAATAACAGTTGTATCCAAAGGTTTGGGCGTCCCTGGTCAGATTATATATGTTTTGATGTTTTAGTTATGAATACATACACATATATAAATAAATAAATAAATAAATACACATACTCAACAGAGAGCACACTTTTGCACATAATGCACAACTATTGTTTATTTGCTAAATGTATCATATTAGGGAAAACAAATATAAAAATATTAAAAGTAGTCTGTGCAAAAGTTACAGCACATTGTAAATGTATTTTATTTTTCCCAATATTTTAAGCAACATTTTAACTTATTATCACTCAGAAAATCAACAGAACGTGTTATTAGATCAGAGATATACAGGACTGATGATGTAGTTCTGAACAGCCATCAGCAGGTGGCAGTAAGCTCCCGTTCTTGCTCTTCGTGGAAAGAGTAGCATGTTTTTTTCTTTCTTACTAGTGAATGATCATGTAGGACTATCAGTTAATTTAGCAAACAGGACGTGCATAAGAGCATCTGAAAAGTGTATGTAAAACAACCACTGAACTTGGATTTTAAAGATGTTTTAGGACAAAACCTTCTTAAAACAATGTCTCAGGCATCAGGCAGCGTATTCATAACTATTTCATATTTCAGCGAGGAAGTTTTAGATAAAAAATTAAATACTTGACGTCTGGTTCCTATCACCACCACTGTGAACATTTCCGACTCTGCAAGTTTCTCTGGAACAGAGCATGGTTAACTGGTCAACGTGTAGACTTTAAGTCTGGTCAGAGAAATCTTCTAAATCTCCTAAGCACTCATTACAGCTGAACAGGACCCTGCAAAGACACTGTCAGACAGGGCTCGGCCAAGTTTGGCCAACGTTAGGCCGATGTTTTGCCTCTATCACAATTCCATTCCGCTGTGTAAAGACATCCAGTATGGTTTGATCTCTGCAGTCTGTAAAACTGAAAGGATTCCTGTGGTGATGCTGTCAAGCAGCATCCAGCCAGCATTTAGCCAACTTTTGGTCGCCGTTACGCCTCCATTACACATGGTCAGGGTAGCTAAAACCATAGTGGTTTGATCTCAACAGTTTATAAGGCTAAAAGGATTCCAGTAGTGATGCTGACCAGCATGTGGCCTCTATTAACACAAAGTCTGTCAAAAGTGGCTTAAACCATCATGACATGATCAAGTCATGATCTCCTCAGCTGCTTCTAAAGTTGAATGGCATCCTACAGAGACGCTGTCAAAACAGCATTTGCCAGCAATCTGGCAACTCTGAACCAACATTTGGCCTCTGCTGTCCCTAAACTGGCCAGCAAGGCTTAATCTCTACAACAGCTTATAAAGCTGAATATCTTTGGGCAGAGATATTGTCCAGCAGTGTTCGGCCCACATTTAGCCAACATTCAGTCTCTGTTAGCAGTATTTCTTTAAGGGGAAGCCCACCCATTTTTCAAAATATCTGCGTAACTCAGTGGTTTAGATATAGAGTCATCTGGAGTGGTCTGGAATAAAACTGTTTATTTTGTAGAGAAAGTTACTGACTCAGGTTTCTTTACAGTGGTGCTGATAGGAACCAGGTGTCACCATGACTACAACACAAATATAGCCATTTTATTCACTATCCAAAACCACCACTGAATCTACATGTGCCTCCTGAGCTTTTATATGGAATGTTGATGATGGTAAAATAGTGGACAATCTCAAAATAGCACATTTGCTTTGGGGACTAGTTTGCCTTAGAACACCCTTTATGTACCCCTCCACCATGACTGGATTAAAATAAATTGATTAAAATACATTCAGACATCAGGCAGTGTGTTCATAACCATTTCATGTAATAACTTTCTGTGAGGGAGCTTTTAGAGGGGGACATCTGGTTCCTATCACCACCACTTTGAACAGTTCTGACTCCGCAAGTTTCTCTAGAGTGGAGCGTTTCACACCAAACCACTCTGAATGATTCTGTTTACATCTTAAACATTTAATTATGCAGAAAGTTTGAAAAATCGGTGGAGTTCCCATTTAAGTTCTCATTTCAACCATTTTATAAGGCTAAAATACTTTTCTGCAGTGTTGTTAAATGCTGTCTAGCCAGCATTTTGCCAGCGTTAAGCCATTGTCTGGCCAATATTTGACCTCCTCAGATGGCCTGTGAGTGCATTTGCTCTGATGCTAATCAGACAGATTAACATGAGCTGCTTGACTTGTGCTCTAAATGTGTGTTCTATTAAAGCTTTGTGCAAGCAATAATGTTAGAAAGCAAACTGCTTTAGACTCTCAATACTCCTCTTTCAAAGCTATCCTCATTGAGAGCTTTTTAGCTCTGCCACACACACTCAAATCATGTTTCCAGTCAAGGAATACTTCCCTCAGATATGGTAATGCAGCTAATTAAGAATGAAAGGCACCGTGTGCAGCAGCTAGCATAATGCTAACTTCAGGTCACATTGATTTTCGGCAGCATCAGCACTTTTTGCTGAAGTTCGTCCAAGAAGCTTTCCATTAATGTCACCGACTGAGACAAATACAGGGGGGTGAGAGAGCGAGCGAGCGAGAGAAAGAGAGCGAGTGAGAGAGAGTGAGAGAGAGGGGGTACTCAATGGTCTTCCTGACTGACGCACTTGGCAGATCAGCTGCTGATCATCTTACAGCATCACATTACACAGATAGAGAGCCATGCTAACAGACTGATAGACACACACACACAAAGACTGTCTCGTCTCCGCTGTTACTATGGCAACAGCGTCCCACAGCAACCAGCGTGCAAGACAGAGACAGAAAAGTCTGACTGGCCAAAAGACGTGTGATGAGACAGCCCAGTCTAGCACACTGCATTACACTCCTAAACTACTCAGTACAAATTTCTAGTTAGTGGAGGATATGAGGAGGGCACTGAGTCAGGCTCCCAAACAAGTATCAGCACAACAACGGATTCAGAAACACGTTTATAAAACCAAATTCATTTTGTAACAATGCAGCCTAGTCCCAGCAATAACCGTCACTTACATTCAGGAGCTACAGTTGAGAACTGACCTTTGCAAAATTACGACTGACATGCCTCTTAGCCAATCACAATCATCTCTAAAGGTTCCTTCCTCTGTCAAGCGGAAGAAAATCTTTGACAGGACTGATCAGAACAAACCTGCAGTGAGAACGGCTGTTGCAGTAAATTAGTCAGAATTATTCATCGAAGAAATAATACAAAGGTTTTACTACAGAATGTGTAAAACACACACTATCCTAATCATCTGGAGGGTGGTGCTGCTTCTATTCTATTCCTGAAGCTGGGTTTTGTATTAAACTATGGGGAAGACCACGCTCATAGCTCAAAGACAGCAGTATTAAAAGGCAGAACTATACTGGCTTTAAGATGAGGTAAACTTCATCTAGGTTATCAAAGTTTTCGCTGGCTTTACATTGTCCTACATGCATATTTTGTCAGTTTTCAAAAACGTACGCCTGCTCTGAACATCTTGTAAAGCCAGTTTATTTTTGAATATCATACTGTTTCAAATGTTGACCTGTGAGCTTGAAATTTTCCTTCGTTCTATTGAGCGTTTTAGTCTTTCAGTACAAAAGTTATGAATGCTACCAGGTAGTCTTGGCTGAAAGTTTGGCGGACAAAGCAACAATAACTAAGGGGGACATGACTTTCTCATAAATGGCCAATACTGAAATGTCCTAATGCTGCAGTCTTAGGTTTGCTTTAAAACATTGTTCCATGCCTCATAGTGGCACGAAACGACGGTGGAATGAAGCCACATAAACACAGTCACGGTGACAGCATTATCGGCAAAAATGGATGATTATCAGAAGACTGTAGGGCTGTAGATTGTTTATTTAAGGTAGACTGAAGGTAGAAGGACACCTTGTACTCTTTTTTTTTGAATAATAAAGAGTGTATCTGGAATTCAACAATAGGATGTTTGTCATCCATGGCTCCAAAGGAAAAAAAAAAAACAAAAAAAAAGTCATGCAGTTTACTTCACTGCTGTGGTCAACGACAAAAGTTGGAAGAACTGTACTCTTGATGGAACGTTCTGCTCACCGCTGCTGTCTGCAAAACGTTGCTGCTGGAGGCGGCAGAATTTTCCAAACTGGCTCCTCTAAAAACACCTGCTAGTACTTTAAATGAAAAGTTGTTGCTGAGATCCAAATGAAACTTTCTACTGATAAACTTTGAAGCTCTCAGAACATTTATTCATGTTTTCTGGCAGTGCCATCCAGTGAAGAATCTCTGGGGAAGGACGGCTTTCTTGCTTGCTACTCTTTTAGACGTAGACCTGCCCTTGTATCCAAATCTTCTGCCCCGAGAACATTTCAATACTTAACTTGAAACCCAGTCAAAAGAAGACAGCAATGGCTTCTCTGACAGCAGTGAAGAAAGCACTTTTTTAAATTTTGTGCAGAACGGAGCACGCACTTAAGATCTACGTTCTACATTCTTGCTCTATTTTATGGATGTCCTGGTACTGGAGCAGCCGCTGCCGGACTGAATTAAGTCAAGGCTGATACTGTGGTCGCTTGGTCTGCAGCAAGTAACTGCATCTTTGTGTATGTCTGTTCATTTGTTGGATTGTCTGTTTTTGTACTGAAAATGCTTAAAAAAAATATTTGTTGTTGCTGTGAAAAGGCAGGTTAAACTGTCTAGACTACGGCTGCGTTTGTGATCAAGTGTGAAGTGGGACGTTTCCGACTTCCATGTACAAAAAATCCATTTAAATGGTCAATCAATTGGTAATTACACTCTTACAGCTGGAGTTCCTCAAGAGCTCTGATTTCTCGGAGTTGCAGTTCTGCAACATCACTTCAACACAACGGCACCAACAGAACAAGAATAGCGTGTTATAATATTTTTAAGCAGCCTTTTAAGTTAATGTTTGTGCACAGCATGTTATTGGTGAATAATATCACTAAATACAGAGGGATGCTTGGATAAGTGGAAGTCGTTATATTGCCATAGTCTCTATCCACAACTAAAACAAACTCTAGTGTAAATGATTTTTAAGAGCTTTTTTATACTCCCACAGTGAGTTTGAGAGATCCCAGATGTTATGAATGCAGCGTAAAGCACCAGCAAGCAATGCCCAAGAACAGTATCCATGAACCACTAGTCCTCTATAAGGATGTACTTGCCTGTGAGTGATCACTAAATTGTGCATGTGCATATCTGTGTGTTTAATTTGTGAGAATGTAAATGAACTCTCACCATCTTGCCCCTCTGCTGGGCAGACCGTGTCTCACGGAGTGTGAATACATTCCCACATACTGAGATCTCTCTCCAAACGCCCGGTTTAGAGTCCTCGGTGAAGCCGTGCCGAGGGTGCATCACCAGCACGCCGTTGGTCGTCAAGCCGTCCATCTGTCCATCCGATGTTCTCCATTTCGCTGCCTTCTCCTGGGAGGCAAAAAGAAAAAGGCATCAAAGAACAGACTTTTGATACACCTCACTTCTTCAGAGGTCTGGGTTAATGGATGCTGGTCATCGTGAGAATCACTGGCAGGGCAACCATGGGCACTTAGGCTAGGGCTATTGTGAGCCAAATTACTAACGGCATGGTACAAATAAGAGCTAGCTGGCTACAATCACTAGTCAGAACAGCAAAAGTGAGATCAAAGCAGTCTTAGCAAGTCAGCTAACTTTAAGCCTAAAGACGCTTTAAGTTTATGCTGACCTCACAGCACATAACTTAAAAGGGAATTCCACCAGTTTATCAAAAAGTCCTCATAATTAAATGGTTAATAAGTCATTCAGAGTGGTTTGATGTGAAATGCTCGCGTCTAGAAAAAAAAAATCTCATCTAACCACTTTGAATGACTTTGAATAATGAATTGAGTGGGTGAATTTTGAAAAATCAATTCCCCTTTAAATTAATTATTTTTAAAATTTTTTTTTGGAAAGACGCTACGGAAAAGACATTACTTGTCGACAATCAAAAATTATTAAATGATAGACTGTGTGCTGTGCTTGTGTTACATTTTCCTGGAATTTATCCTGATTGTTATTTAAAAACCACTAACAAAACTTCAGTGAGCAGCCTAGGTGCTGTCTTTTTCTAGACGAACCTCAAGAGACACACCGACAAAGACCTCAAGCCCTACAGATAAATAACCTAGAATGGCTTGTGTTTTGAAAATTAAAACAATCAGACTGCAGCCAGCAGACAAAATCCCCAAAACAGACAATGAAATGACCAGATTTCAGGAATTCAATCTACAACAGACACAAAACCCTATCAGGACACATTTTGGGAAAAACCGTGTTCCAGCACAGGACCTACTGTACCTATCTCTGAGATTTCTACCTCATCAAATTACATTAAGAGCCACCATAGTAAACTGTGCCAGCTTTAATAAATCGTTCTGGCACTCTTGCTATTACTGTGCTGGGTTTAGAGTAAAATCTGTATGTGAGGCTTTGAGCTCCCACTCTGTTCATGTTCAGGCTGAGCTTGTGAAACCCATGAGGATATCAACTCATCAACACACTGACAGCAGAACACAGTCTGATCATGTACTCAAAGTGCTGGACGACAGGCCCAAACTGGGAAACAAACATCACCTCACGCTTTAACAGCCATCCCTAAAAAAACAAAAAGAGGGAAAAAACAGCCTTTGTGCGAATACACACATCTACAATCTACACTTTATTGATTTACAAGCTGAGTTTTAATGTCAAAATATTGTTTCCTAATAAATTAAATAACTGCACTCTCATGTGCACCTCATTATTATCTTCATATGATAAACACAGTCATTCTGACAGACTGCAATACACTAGAGCAGGGGTCCCAACCCAAATCTTAAGAAGAGACATTTTGTCCTATCAGCAAAAAAATCAAACCACCTTGGGAGCCACAATATTTTATGTCCATTTTTTGAATGTAAATGTGTCTCATATGTGCTAATGGGCTAGTATAGGCAAAAAAAAAATATAAACAAAAACGCAGACTTACTTTGCTCTGCTTTAAGCTTTAGCTCAGATGTAGCTGCTTTTCTCGCATCTCCGGCAGGAAACTTTTCCAGAAGTGAAACAGTTTTTGTAAAATGTCTCTCAATGTTCAACTTTTTACGAGGCTAAAGTCGCTTCTCATTCGCCAGCTTCTTGTTTAAATTTTCCCGGGAGAATTGGAACAAGAAGCTGGCGAATGAGAGGGTTCAATCCTTAAACAGTCACCCCAGAAAATGGGACCTGGGGTGGTGGATTACAGTGCCATGATGTCTGAGTAAAAGAAGCATCTAGCTCACCCCAAGAAAGATGTTTTTGGAGGAGTCGAATCCGGCGGCATAGATGCGGGCAGTGTAGGGCGGCGTCCGCTGGCACATGATCCGACAGGCGAAACGAGAGATGGTGCTCTGGACCGACTGCGTGTCCGAGTTACTTTGGCTGCCCGGGATAGTGTCCGTCACCACAAAATCTATGGGGCTTTCAGTGGAACGACCGATCTGGGGAAAGAGAAGGAGAAGAGGGACAGTGAGAGACAGATTAAGAGAGAGAGATAAAGAGAGAGAAGAGTAGGGATGAGAAAAACATTTTCTATGTTTTCCAATAATCCCTATTAAACCTCAAACTCTACCTGTTTGCAGTTCTTACTAACATAACTAACTAGTTCTAATTGTTTCAATGTAGATGCTAAATCATTTCTAGTAGTTACTTAATATGTCACTGCAGTTACTGGACAAGACTGACAACTCAATAGTCAGTCAATGGTGATTCAGAATTGCACGTTCTTCTTAGTCTAAACTTCTGCATAATGTAGTTCTAGAAAGTAGAACTTACATTTCCGTATTACAGAAATGTCCCTTTGTCTTAACTTAAGATCTGGTCAAAACAGGTCAAAAGATTTTTCACAAATTCGTATTACAGAATTAAGTCTTAATTTCGGAATCTTATCTTACAGTATCTAATCTTATCTCAGGTTAGGAAATCTTAACCTCCTTGATCGAAGCCGACGATCAATCAACAATTAGTCTGGGATTTTTAAACGCTGTTACAAAAAAAACCCTCATAAGTCAAAGCACCATTTTCAACGTAGATAAATGTAACATCATTATGCCAAATATAGTGAACTGTGCTGCCTGTCACTGCATAAAACGATAGAAACTGACGGTTAAATTAAGACAGATCTGGGCTTGTCTAAAAGTTTAGACAGTATTTAGGAGATTTAGTCTAGTTAGGATGTTTCTGTAATACTGTTTTCTTATCTGGAGTTAATGGATAAGATTATGAACTTAACAACTGTTGTTCTGTAGTAGCTACTGTCCTAAATTCAGTCCTAACTGAAGTTGTCATGGTGTTTAAACAGATAAGATTCCAGACTTAAGAAGTTTCCATAATACGGCACCTGGCCCCTAAAGTTTAAGGGGATAATTCTAATATTCTACTTTCAATCCATTTTGAACTATTGCTTAATTGAAACTGAGGGGAACTGCACTGTGTTACACCTTGGCCTAGCTATCTAGCTGCTCTGTGCATGTGAGTGTGAGTCACACTACTAAGGTCAACCTTGCTCAACTTATTTTAAAAACCAAAGCAAACACTACCATAGTCGCAAGCAGTAAAGCTGTGCTCTGCCTAGCAACACTCTGAGTGATTAAAAGGTCAGTCTAGAATTCCAGCACTCACTGACGTCGGGAAACAAAAACCACAGAGTGGAATGCGACTGGCTACTGCCAACTCGAGCAGGCGGGCTGCGCATGAGCGACAGTGCAAAACTCCAATGATAGTCTGCAGATTTGAGCCTAATCTATGCAGTTACGCAATGCAGGTCAATAAAAAGAGTGAGTGTGGGTAATACATCCTCCAGAAATGTAGGTTACTGTAAAAAGGTAGACAGTTTGTCTGGCTGAACTAATAACAGTCATTAAATGTACTTGTGCTACAGTTCTTTTAGCTTTAAAGAGCACAAACACAGGCACACTCAAACCAGCCTTATTACATCTCTCAAAAGAAAACCAATAAAAAATGCAAGCCATCTTTAGCTTGTATGTAAAGTGCCAGTAAATAAATCTGGTGTGTGTACCTGGACCACAGGTGTAGTGTGCGTACTGGTGCATGTAAAAGTACCTGGAACATATCCGTATTGCTGTCATGAGTGTACTCCACCACCACCGTATGAGCTCGAGACAAGGTGTAGGAGATACTGTGCTGGTCCTTGTTGCTTATGGCCTACAGAGGGAGAGGGAGAGATCAAGAAAAGCAAAACAATATAAATAACTTACAACGGCATGACCTGGCCCTTTTTGTTGACAATGAGAATCGCAGATTCAGATTTCATTCGTCTGCAGAATTTCCATAAATTAAGCGATATTTACATCAGATTTCTACAATTTCCCCATTAACTTAGAAGACCAGCTTCAGGATGGCGGCTAATACCATTTTAGTCATAAAATGTGGGCTACTTTTGCCCCATCAAATGCAAAACAGCAAAAAAAAAGTGAATTTATGTGGTTTTATTTTGTAAAAGCTGTTCAGACAGAGAAAGGAAGCTCAGTTACCTTCGGTTACCGGCTACAGAAAAACACTAGCAAAATAACACAAACCAGATGCCAGAAGCAGGGATGTAACACCTACTGGATAAAAGGCACTTAATCTGTGTGAAGCTCCTTTGACTCCTTTGCTTCTGCCTTTTGTCAAACTAAAGTTGATTTTGAATAGTTTGTTTGATTTCTCTTGCTGAAAAGCATCATACTTGCTTGTTTACACCACCTGCGCCTGTCTTGCTCCTCCAAAAAGAATATGTGAAGCGTAACCACAGTAACAGCCGTTTTGATGACGTTGCTGTGAAGGGTCTGTTTTTTCGATCTGACTGTCGTATTGACACATAACGGATTTCAGTACCACATATGAAAGTGGCCCAAATCAGAACTGAAACGGTCAGATCCAATGAGCGTTTACTCAACAACTCAACACTGTTTGAGGCAAGCGTGTGATAACTGGGCTTGCAGGTTACATGAGGACTTCATCACTTACTATCTACATTAGCCAAACAGTAATGTAGAAAACACAATGGACAAGTGGAGAACAGACTGATCTCAGGACTTAGCATGAGTAAAAGCACTCTCTCCAACGGCACCACACCTACTATCGGGTGGGACACTGAGCAGGAGTGTCAGAGTGGACATAAAGTGGCGCCTACGTGGAGCAGTTTAAGCTGGGCATGTGGTAAAACAGAGGAGCTACTTATAAGCTCAAGTGTATCCAGATGTGTGGATAAAACAAGGGCTCGAGACCCACACAATGTGCATGTGTCCCCTGTGGTTCCTTTAAGTGACACATTTTTCACACATTTGTGTCAAAACCAGATTTTAAGCAAAAAACCTAGGTTCTGTTTGTCTCAGCTTTCATATTGCATCAATATTATTGCAATATTCAAACAATAAATATAGATTTGAAGCTCTCATTGACGTGTTTGCTGCGTTCAAGACAAACCTGCATGTAGAGAACTGGCTTTCTCTCAGGAGATGAGCTGTGAGCTGAATATCACTCTCTCTTGCTCAATCGCTCTATTTCTTACCTCCTCTGTTATTACAAACTGTAGCTAAACAACTAAACAATGCTGAAAAATACAGTACAATTAATGGTTGAAAAGTATCATCTGTCTTTACAGAGCCCTTTTAATAACGTCATTGGTGTCAGATTTATGTGTATGTGCGTTTGTGTTGGCTTATGTTGAATAAAAATGTTCTAATATATTTGAATATTGTCTTAAAATGCAAACATTTAGGCCAAAGTTCAACATGTTTCACCGTGAGCATATTTTAAAGCTGCACTAAGTTTTAGGGATTTGGAAACCTCTCTGGTTGAAATGTGTAACTGACGGTCTGAGTGGATCAGACACAGCAGTGCTGCTGGAGTTTTTAAACACCTCAGTGTCTCTGCTGGACTGAGAATAGTCCACCAACCAAAAATATCCAGCCAACAGCATCCTGTGGGCAGTGTCCTGTGACCACTGACGATGGAATAGAGGATGACCAACACAAACTGTGCAGCAGCAGATGAGCTACCGTCTCTGACTTTACATCTACAAGGTGGACTGACAAGGTAGGAGGGTCTAATAGAGTGGACAATGAGTGGACACAGTGTTTAAAAACTCCAGCAATCCACATTTGATACTGTGTCTTAGTTACATTAGTTGCATTGTACAGTAGCCTACTTTGCCATACACTTCATTTTTTCTTAAATTCTTTTTTTCTCATAGTTCACACACGGAAGAATGATCTCAAGCAACTCCACCCAGTGAGACATCTAAGGCTTTGTTTACACAGCAGATAAAAGTGGCTCAAATGTGTGTAAGTGTGAACAGCAAAAAAACACACTCAATGTGACATTTTCAATTCCGATTTGGGGCACTTTCATATGTGGTACTGAAATCCGATACGTATCTGATCTGCGGCAATGCGACTCAGTCTGAACAGCCAGATTGGAATTCATGCGACATTTACGTCAATCCAACTCGACATTCGTCATCGTTTCGCGCTGCTGAGACCTCATAAACATTTAGGCTGATGTTTCTGTACAGAAAATTAGAACAGACTTTTCCAAAGAACAGTCAAAAGTCTGAAAGCAAAGCTTAAAGAATCCAAGGATGCGAACCAAAGAAGTAGAAATTAGGTGCCTTTTTTACCGAGAGCTCAAACACATTCTGGGTAGAGAGCCCAGCTGTCAGCCATCGGAACTTAATGATAGCTCCTGTGATGCCGGCGAAGATGAAACTGAACCCTCCGGGAGCGACTGGCGTTGGTTCATAGTCATGATTGTTTACCTCTGGATGAGCCACATGCAGCAACGTGAAGCACTGTTCTTTCGCGCATACGGGTCAGTTTAGGAGCTGATCTGTGCAGACTGATGTGGATTTGGCGAGAAAATCAGATTTGGGCCACTTTTACCTGCTGTGTGAACATAGCCTAAGATTTCAAACTGAGAAAGAAAATCACTGATTTTTTCACCAGACTGACACCGCAAGCTCAGGCATTGAAATGGGAATTAGGAGAGAAGAAGTAGGATCTGTACATCCCTGTTCCTGGGTCATAAGTGACTGAAAATGATGGAGCAGGTCATGTGTAGAGTGCAATGTTTCTACCTTGGCTGCTTGCGGTGTGCAGGCTACATGGATAGTGCTGGGTTTGACTCCATTCGCTTTGGGCCGCTTGAAGAGAGCGAATCGGCTCTTCCGTCTGCCGCGGTCCCCATTTGGGAGAGAGCCATTGTACCTGCATGCAAAAAACACCAACATGAATACCCCTGAGAACACCTGCCACAGCCCGACGTCTGCATGTTAACCCACAACAGCGGAGAAAAACAGAAAAATCAATTATATCAAGTGTACAAGTAACAGAGAAGCAGAGCCTCCTCTGCCCAAGTAACATACACACACAAATATAGACATCTGAAAGCACTTTATACTCTTTCTTCCGAGTTCACAAGCTATTAATAATACACAAAGAGCCATTCTACATCAAACAAAGAGAGAAAAGAAGGGCAAAGTTCAGTTTTCCATGATACCAGACCTTTAAAGCCTGTAAACACAGAACTAAACCTATAGCAAAAACTACAAACCACAGCAAGAGCAAAGCTCCAGCAAGCTGCTGACCAGCAAAAGAGTGCGTTTATTTCCGTCACTATGGTTCAGAACTACTGTCAATAACGCACTGAACAGACAAACATGACTGAAGGAACTGTTTACATTCACATTTATGGTATTTGGCAGACGCTCTTATCCAGAGCGACTTACAATTTGATCATTTTACACAGGTAGGCAAAGGCAGTGTTACCTACAACAGGCAGTGAAATACAGACAGACAAAAGCAATGTGTCTGAATAACCATCTGCATCACATTGTGTCTACACAGTGGTGTAACTGGATTCAAGGAAAACTGGATTCCCATTTAGAAAAAATGACTTTCAGTTAATACATTTGCCTGTTTAATTGCTATTATGATGTTTCTAATTAATGTATGCTCTCCATGCCACTCCAACCAGCAGCCTTTAACATTAACCTACATGTTCACATTACGCCACCTATCTGGAGCGCGATGACTGTACTAAATATTTGGCTGTCTGACACACCACAGGCCAGACAAGGTTACAGAGATTCCCTGATACACGCCCCCTACTCCCTCCACAGCATTTTAGACCCTTGAAACACATGCAATATTGTAGACACATTTCAAAGCAGAAACTTTATATTCCTTCTTCTGGGTACATGATCTATTAATAATGCACAAAGAGCTGCAGACTCTTCAGATGCTGAGGAGGATGGTTGATCATGGTGGTGTCGGATAACACAACAAAATAAACTTGCTCTTATAAGAGGAGAATATATACTGCACCTCCAGTGGCTTCTATAGTACATATATAGGTGCCTGGTCTTCCTCTTATATAAGCCAACAAGCCTTAGTCCTTTAATGACCACTTTGGGGGCTCTGCTCTCATGTGCTAGGCTACTAATACAGACGCCAGAGAGCTTTCTGTCTGGAGGTAAAGCTCTAACTAAACAGAAACCAATCCTCTTAAACTGCAGAGCTCACACACCTCTGCGTGCGGTCCTGAAATGAAAACGCTTTCAGTATGAAGGGGCTGAAGTACTTTGCTTCTTATGGTCCACTCAGATTCGTTTGAAGCTCATTCACTCTGGAGCTTCCGATCAATGCACTCTGAATCAAAATCAATATTTCCATTCAACGCGCCCTTGATCAAAATCGATACGTCTAGAGGAAAAGCTCTCGCACCACGTCCGGACTCCAGTGTCTGTGTGGAGTTGTACAGGCTCCTGAAGGTGGCGCTATAACAGACTTGTGTTGCTATGGTAATTATAAACATCCATCCATGGTAGCAGTGGACAGTATTGAGAGATCTACCCCACAGATTTTCATGCAATGTACCACTGGCTGCCACACAACCCCATGGCATAACAGATCTATCTACAAGCTTAATAGTGGACAAGGAGTTCTTTTCATCAAATGCTGCTCCTTTTTTCTGTAAACAAATGTTTAGTAATCGTGTTCAAAGAGTTACATTTTTACTTTGTCAGTCGACAGCACTTGTTTCCAAAATGCCTCTGGCTTCTCTAGATGCTGTTTTGCATACTTCAGGCATTGATTTCTGTAATGAGGTCACAGGTAAGGTTTCCTTCTGACTCTTGAACACAGATCATGTTTGTGCAAGCAATGTTGCGCAGTAGAACGGTGCCTCACCACACTTGTGTAAGGCTAAACCTTGCTACAGGACCTTTGCTGTCACATGGGGGGTTTTGCTATACCTTTCTGACCAGCATACAAGCAGTTCTATCTTTGTTTTTTTTTGGTCTTACTGATTGTGCCTTGATTTCTACTGCTCTCCTTGACTGCCACTTCATAATGACATTTCTGACAGCAGCAATCGCGAGCCTTGATATCTTTTTTTAAGCCTTCTCCTGCTTTTTAGGCATCAATTATCTTTATTTTCAGGTCCTCAGTCAGCTGCTTAGAGGACCCCACAGCTGTCGATTGAAGTACAAGGACTGAGGAATCAGAAAATTTATTACGCTCCTGAATTGTCATGAGCTGAGAATTTTTAATAACAATTCATGACCTGCCTAACCAGTCTTAACGAGTCAATTAAGGTCTATGAAAACTTCTGCACACAATTGTACATGTCTGGACAGTTTGTTTTATTGATATGATATTTTCTCTATTTTGGAATAATAGTGAAGTTGTTACAAAAGAATGGGCACATATGGAATTACGCAGTGACTGAACATGAGTTAAACATATTCAAACTTGTATATTAGATTATTCAAAGCCTTTGCTTTGATGCAGCTTTACCCACTCTTGACGTTCTCTCAAGCAGCTTCATAAGGAGCCACCTGGGGTGCTTTTCCAACAGGTTTGAAGAATTTCCTCATACGCTCAGACCTTGCTGCACAAAACAACTCGGGTGGGCATTTAAACGTAAGCCTTTACATCAAAAGTGCCTTTATGAAAAAATAAAAAACAAATCAGATTCCAAGCTATTGGTACTATACACACACACAGAGTCTTATTTAGGCTGTCCACCCTTTACAGTACAGTTTTTCTCCACTTCTACACCAGCAGAAACACAACCATTCCACCGTGTGAGGTGGAACTGCCTTGGACTTTTTAGAGAGGGGTCTAAATAACACACCTCCAGTGAGCTAACCAACACAGAAACACCACACACTCCACACACTGAGAGGATGTAATCATGGAAAGTTTCTGGCTGGGACTCCGGGGATGGGAAGAGCAGTGGAGGCCAATAAATCAGCGCAGAATTCCCAAACAGCTGAGTGAGTCACTCTGAACAGGGAATTTCTGTGGTGTTGCTCAGGACACATGTGTGGTGTTACATATGCAAGTCTTCATCACATTCGCAGCGAACAAGAAGATAAAGAAAAGACGGAAAAGAATGAAAGACAAAGAAGAGAAAGAAAGACTTTCACTGTTAGCTGCTGTGTGGAACAAGCAAAGTACAGAAGGAGCAGTGGAAAACGAGGGGGAAAAGAAATAAAGAACAGTGGAGTGAAGGAGGTTGGTGGGAGAAGCGAGGGAGACTTTTCTCCTCCATAACAACAGAACAGAAACACAAACAACACAGTGTCTCTTTAAACCAAAAAGTATTTATTGGGATCATGACCTACAAATACTTCAGCTATTCATTAACTCCCTCTCTCCGCGCCTCTCTCTCTAAACCACAAATGACTCGTCATATCAGCTTATCAAACTGATAAAAGTGATAAACAGGCTTAAAAGGTACATCATCATATAAACATGACGAATCTGCCTTTACGCTCTTAGTGCAAACTAGTTTGAGATTTGAGGCCAAAGCTCATGCAAAAATCTGATTTACTCAGTTTTACCAGATGTACTGGATCAGCCAAGACATGCCTGGTGACTGAAGTTTGCTTCTTTAGTTTTTGGAGTTACAAAGGTAACATAGCTGAGAAGTAATGGAAACAAAGTGCAAACTGACTGAAATCAACAACTCCTTCACCTCAAACCGTGTGGTGGTGTTAAGCAGTCTCTAAAAGACTTGCTGATATTGCTGAGGCATGATGTACTGCGAAAACTGTATCTATGAAAACTGACAGACAAAAATCAGGCTTTAAGCTATGAGACTAATTTTTAAGAGACTTAAACTTTAGTTTTAAAGTTTTAAACTTTAGTTTAAAAGTTCACCCTGAACTTTTATTCTTTCTGTGGGTGTGTTTATATTTGTACTTCGATTGTCTTGAACTGGACCACATTTTAGGTCTGATTCCCAAATGGACATATTTGACATCAGCCCAAACGACGTAAACAAATGTCTATAGCAGTAGCATTATGGCACAGTTATGTCAATGTTATGCAGCATTATGGCACGGTTATGTCAATGTTATGCAGCATTATGGCACGGTTATGTCAATGTTATGTAGCGGGGTTCAAGTAAAGTGTTACCCAAATGCCATATTGCAAATACCACAACAAATGGGACAGAATGTGTGTCTTACATTTGGCCATCCAACAAACATTCTGAACTACACTGTACTGTGGCCTAGCCAAGACAGCGGGTTTATACAGGTGTTGTTTTATCTGTCTTTTCATATTCTAAAGCTATAAGCCACTCAAGGCTGTGCATTACCAAGGTTTTCCCATGATGCCAAGGGAAGTAAAGTGACTCTAAAGGATGGCCTTGAGTGGAATACAGCTTCTATAAAAGTTGGTCTCATGTTTTTACGCTGAAATTAACCATTCTATAATTGTCAATTCAGAGCTCACAGGGTAAAGAAAAATGTGTGCATCTGAAATTTCGCCAAAGTACGTTTGCAGAGAAGGTATGGTGGTTCATTCTGTGGTCGGTATACATTGACATCTACGGTCCATGTTACATTTATGCATAACAAATCGTACCAAACAGAGCAATCGTACCACAGTTTGTTCATATTGAACCAGATCTGCCAAGTGCGAACACACCCTGAGAGAACCAAGGTTTAACCACTTGAACAGAAGGAACATAAAAGATTTTAAAGGGCCCACATCCTACAGTACTCTCATATTCAATTTCTCCCTTGAGGTCCACTTAGAACATTTGTGTGTTTTCATATACCAAGTGGTCATAATTCATTTTTACATCTCCCTTTATGCCTATTAAACGTTTTTTTTGTATTACTGTGTCTTTCAGACTGCTATATGGAAATCGGCCATCCTGTATTGTGCCTAAGTCAAAAGGAGCCGGTACACTGCTTATAAATTCATTGTGAATGGGGGGGGCTTAACTGCTGAAGGCTGAATATATGCACATATGTAATTAGATGTTTCTCAAAACAGGCTGTTTGTGCAGCTTAGTTTCCGTACATTGACTGTATGGTCTGGGTAGTGAATAGTAGGTTTTGAAACTATAACAATGATTACATGCTACATCAAACTTAAGGGAAATTTGTTCGTCCATGATATGAGCCCTTTAACACACTACTGTATATTCGTTTCTAAAAATCTCCTTGAGGTGGCAGTGAATCCATTAATATTCACTGGCCCACTGGCTTTCTGACACCGTTCTTTTTAGATAATGGTATAGATAAGCAGCGTACTGCAGGGCTACAGCAGGACTGGGACTGAGAAACACTGACCTAGATCAGAGGTCTCCAACCCGGTTCCTCAAGGACCACCAGCCAGCCTTCATTTTCATTCTAACCCAGCTCTAACCACATTGCAGTTGAGGGGATTGATTAACTGACTGAGGTGTATAAAGCACTGGAAAAACAAAAATAATTTATGACTGGCAGGGGGTGCCTCGAGGACTGGGCTGAAGCTCTCTGACCTAGATTACCACACAGGTGGCCCCCACATCGCATACACACACACACACACACACACACACACACACACACACACAACTAGAACAAGCCATTCCGGGAGGAATAAAGCCTATTAAAAACACGCACAGGTTTGTCAGAGGTCATGCAATTCAACTGCATTATAAAATCACTGATAGTCCTGGGCAGCACTGATAAAATTCAGTTATCATTAGGTTAAATGAACTTTTGCTTCCTGGTTCTGCCACTCTATGCTGAAATAACGCCTTTACATACTTGACAAATTGTTTGCTCTGTTTCCTTCCTTTAAAATTACAGCACATCGGAATCTTACACAGCATATTTCTATCACCATTGTAATTACACTGCATTCCAATATAGAGATGTACAATTTAGATATTGCTGCTGTCACAACAAAACTTGCATCTCCATTTTTGTCGTTTTTCAGTTTTTCATATAATTTGATAATAATTTGAAAATGCCTGCTGGTCTTTTTTCACTGTGTGTAAATTTCATGAAGGATGGACCAAAAGAAACGGCCCAAAATTACTCTGAAAAAAAGTCTGGTTTCATTGACTTACATTAAAAGTAAAGTATGTTTTATCCTTCTCCTGTAAAGTTACCATTTTGGAGATACAAGGTTTTGTTCCAACAGCAGCAATTAAAAAGTGATCACAGTAGGCAGCAACAATATATTATTAGTCAGACTAAAGCCTGTAGCCCTCATGACATACAGATGCAGGTTTTTTTGAGTCATGCAGACACTAAGGGTGAATTACAATTTACGAGCTTTATCACCATCACAATTTTAGTTCATTTTAGTTTAGCTGCTTTTATTTCTTTTATCGAGTTATTTTATTCAGCTAATTTTTTTATCATTGAAAGCAGTAGTGAGGTTGACATGCAGGCCAAGCTGAGCTCAGTCATAGCTGAGCTGAAAGTGGAATTGAGGACTAAGGAGAGTTTGAAGCTGCAGGCTTGACTGAACGCGAGGAGAGCCACCACTGAAGTGGCTCACCAGGTACCCCGCTCAGCTGGTGTATCCTGTTCTCCTGGACAAACCAAGCTCAGAGCACACGTTCCAAGGTAACCGTAATGCTGAAACTATGATCACTTCCACTCCGCGGATTGTGCTTTTCAGTCCACAGCCTAAAGCAGGGGTGTCAAACTCAACCACTAAAGGGACCACGTTAAAAAAATCTCAACATGTCCATGGCCCAGAAGAAAAAAATGGTTTTATTTAATTTTTAATTCATGCTGTGCTCTAACCTGAACTGACCACTGTTTATTCAAAATACGCAAAAACTTCAGCAGTAAGATCTAGGCACTTGTAGTAGACCTTGAAAAATTATATGAATACTTGAAGTATTCAAAATTTGAATGTCCCCAGGAGCTCGGTCTTTTAATCGTACCTATTTGCTTGAACTAGCCTTCTGGCATCTCTTCTTTGCTGCAAGTTCATTTAGACTTGGGCTCAATTTCTGAGCTGCTGAGCCAACATTAGGTGTTTATGTTGGCTGAACTGCAGCTGAAATGCAGTTAGTGTGTTTGGTGATACGACTGGTGTGGAACTGTGTAGAACTGATGTATAACTGCTGTCCCTATAGATTTTGTTGGGGTAGAAGAGTCATTACGTTGCAAAGCATGGTGGGGATTGTAGTGCAGCGCAGTGTGAAACGGGCTAATATTAATAGAAAATTAAAATACTTTTATGGGCCAGAAAGGATTGTGTCACGGGCCTCCTAGTTCAGGCATCTCTGCTCTTCTAGATGCTCTAGACAGCGATGATTTGGTTGCACGCTGAGGTGCATGGTATAAATAAAGCGTTCAAAACCAGCTGTTATTTATTTATTTTTAAAATTTCCCATATATTAACAATAACTGTTCTTTTAAGGGCATTTGCTGATGAAATACATAGTTTAGGTGGCTTGAAAAAATGAAGCTTGGGCATATTAAACACAGAATCGAACACCAAGGTAACAAACGGATACAAAATGCGTTCAAAGTATCCCGGCCTTAAAAAAAAAAATACAGTATTAGTGTTAGTGTTAAATTTTCAGAGTGGCTGCAGCAGAACAAGGGTCAAACGTCCCGGTCCATCACTCTTACCCGAGTACGATGAGCTCTCCGTATTTAATTGGCACTTTGGTGGAGGAGGTGGAGATGTTCTCCTGCTCGGGGGAAAACATGGGTACGGCGTGTGTGCGCTTGTGTGCGTGCGGGTGTTCTGGCTCTCCAGTTACGAACGCTACACAACCACACAGTCGGTCTCAGCTGTGTCTCAGCTTCATCGCTGCCAGCATCAGCATCATCGTTGCTGCTGCTACTGCATGAATCCTACAAAGTGAGAGAAAGAGAGAACATGAATATGACCAGTTAGTTACTGAAGTATTAATATAGCAGTGCAAATTCTGGAAGTGGCTAAAACTTTAAAGCTTAAAACTGGATCAATTTGGTGGTTTGATAAAGAGGAATGGACTACTTTGGCAGTTAAAATGATCCCAGCAACCCCAAAGCGAAGATATGTTTAAAAGTATAAGCACAGGCAATGCAGTCAGTGGTTTGATTACCCATATTTGGTCTCGTCTTGCAGTCAGGCGAGAAAATGAAGCATGACGAACAGCCTTATTATTGTGTCATGTAGTATGAGCTGATTACGATCATCATTAAGGTAAGCCTATGAGCTGACCACACAGCCCACCATTCTTTTAGCATTATATTGCACAGGCTATATACGCTACTAACACATGGATGAGTTCATTACATTTCTCATTAACGCAGAAGGAATTTTAATAGCAAATGTGAACTATATGCTAGCTCTGCTTTCTCCTTACACAACCTTACAGCTCAGCTAATTAAAGCTACTAACACCTGTTAGCCTGGCCAAATGGAGCGCACTGAATATCCTCACACACACACACACACACACAGCATGACACAAACGTGCGAGGCGTGTGTAGACAGTGAGGGGGTTAATGAACAGATCCTCTCTCAGCTAACTCTCGCAGTGAGTCTGATTCATCAGGCTTACTGACAAACAGCCTGCTGATCCCATCAGGGACGCTACACACCATTACTGCTACAAGATTGCAAAATCTCGCCTTGTAGTGCTGCTGCAAAATGTCTTGCATAGATGCTACAGGATGGTGAAATCAGACCGTGATAAATGTAGGTGCCCAAGCCCAAGTATTACAGCTGCAAATGAACATATACCGCCATTAAGGCAGTCCCAATTACACCATTAAAAAGATGCATCAATTAAAAAGCATGTTCTCAAAGAAGCAGCTTAGTAATAAGGTCATTATAAAGCTATTAGGCTTTACTGACGGTTTTGTTTCTGAAAAAGAAGTAAAGACTATGCCTCTCGGATGTCTGTTAGAAGCTTCAAATGTCCATGTTGAAGTAGAGCTGGCCTACTTTCAAGATTACATTTGACCTACAGCCGATTCGGTCAGACTCTGAAGATGAGACTACATTAAATTCCTTAACTGTCATCACCACTGAGCAGCTTTTCAGTCGGCAGTTGTGACAGAAGAACCTAAACAACCTGGAATCAGCCAGAAATTAACCGAATACCATTCGCTAAACAAAATGGGCTGTAAGATGCTTTACAGACTGGCTGGAACAAAACAACATTAATATTGATCTGGCAAAAATTGTCAAAAGCGAGCTAAACTTGATATTGCAGCAGTTTTATGGCTCAGTCTGTACTTCAAAAGTCAAGGCTTACAGCAGACCGTGCAGCGAGTGAGCAGAGTTCATTACTCCGATGTAGCAACAAGCTGCTTGTTAAGGAACTATAATTTGGCAGAAGGAACTGCTAACATTAAAACAAATTAAATGCCACGTTCACAGCCCAATTTATTTATTTCTTACTTTATTCATTCGCCTTTGGCTCGTGCCTGTGAGCAAATCACAGTCGTGATGTTATTTCACGATAATATTTCATAATAAACCTGTGTGGCAAGTGAATATATATAGTCACTAGCTTGGCGCTAACGTACAATTGAAATTCCCATAGAAAAAGTGGAAAGAATTTATTGTAGCAGCAGTACTCAAGCTACTTAGAAAGAGAATATTTCTGTATTAAATTATGCACAGTCACGTTACACCACGTTCATGAAATCAGTCTCAAAAAGTGAAATTAAACGTCTCAAATGGCATTAAAAATCATTCAGAATGCATTAAATTGCATTTGTTGACACCTGCAAATACCTTGTTGATGCAGTCTGAAGAAACAGAGCCTCATGGACATATTTTTATGCACTGTTGCCAGTGTTTTATTTATATACTGATCATTTTCAAAGGCTTCTTTTTCAATGAAGTAATCTGAAATCTTTGAAAGGCTCTGCATTGAATGCTATTAAGTAAAACCCACTGATACTAATTGCCAAACAAAAAAAATGCTCAGATTATCATCAAACTAATCGCTAGACCAGCCTATCACTTATCAATTTATTTAATCAATAGCGACAGTCCAAAAATGGCATGTATTACTGCCGCAGCAGCTGACAAACTGTGTATTTTAGTAAATCAAAGCATCAATACCACGAACCAAACATAAAAAATGAATACAAATGACACAGGGACATCTTTAATCATGTCACTTTCCAGTTTCAACCAATGTGTTTATATACGTGTGTGTGTGTGTGTGTGTGTGTGTGTGTGTGTGTGTGTGTGTGTGTGTGTATGTATGTATATATATATACACACACACGCACACGCTTATTATTCAGTAACTACAGGGACTTCAGTGCAAACTGGCTGAGCTACTCTTAGGTTATAAGTGTGTAATAAAACTTTCCGCTCACCTCTCTGGCCGTTTAAGGGGTTAACTCTTCTTTACTGCCAGTACACATGCCACAATGTGGATTCTACTCCATACCGCAACTTTCCCACTAGTCCAGACCCCTTAAACCTAGAGCGATGGATGGTGCCTACATCTTCATTCATATACTGCATTACTGTGTACGCCTTGGCCAGTTCAGCTCACACTGATCACTACACTCACTCACTAAGCCTGCAAACAAGACTTAAAGGGTCAACCTGGGGCTCGTCACAGAGCAGGTGTTCTACTTAAAGCCAAGGCACATGCATAAAAACAGGAGAGGCAGAGAGGCTCTCACATACAGATAGACAATGATCAGAGTTAGAAAAACAGCCAGGATGGAAACTGGCACTTTACTGAGTGTGTCAGCATAATACAGGAGGTGAAAAGGAAGATCTGCAATAGCAGTGAGCTTTATCTGTATTTAACACAGTGATTTTCATTAGAAAACACACATGCAGAATCCTAACAATAGTCATTAACTAGCCACAGGTTACTAGCCCAACTGGTTGAGGGAAAGTCTGATCCCCTTATTGTGATGCAAGCACACCTCAGCACTTAAAGCTGCCAGGTGTTTAAACCACCTTCGGGCCAAAAGCGCTTCGATATGTGCTTTTATTAACCTCTTATTCCCCAGTGTATATTTGTTTTTTTCCATCTGAATTTACATAATCATAAGGCAAATTATTGTATTCTATATATATTCTATAATTCTGCACCCCCATTTCCAAAAAAGTCGGGACGCTGTGCAAAATGTAAATAAAAACTAAAGGCAATGACGTGCAAATCATGAACCCTATATTTCATTGAAAATAGTACAAAGACAACATATCAAATGTTGAAACTGAGAAATTGTATTGTTTTTTTTTAAAATATAGGCCCATTTTGAATTTGATGCCAACAAGTTGGGACAGGGGCAACAAAAGACTGGTAAAGTTGTGTAATGCTAAAAGAACACCTGGTGGTTAATTGGCAACAGGTCAGCAACATGATTGGGTATAAAAAAGCAGAGCCCAGAGAGGCTGAGTCTTTCAGAAGTAAAGATGAGGAGGGGTTCACCACTCTGTGAAAGACTGCACGCTCAAATAGTGCAACAATTCAAGAATAACGTTTCTCAACAAAAAAATAGCAGAAAAAAAGAACTTGTGTTTCATCACCTACAGTACATAATATCATTAAAATATTCAGAGAATCCAGAGAAATCTGTGTATGTAAGGGACAGGGCCAAAAAAAAACCAAAAAAAACAGTATTCTCTTGCTGTGATCTTTAGGCCTTCAGACGGCGCTGCATTAAAAACAGACATGATTCTATAGAGGAAATCTCTGCACGGGCTCAGAAACACTTCTGAAAACCACTGCCTGTGAAAACAGTTTGTCACTGCTTCCACAAATGCAAGTTAAAACTCTAAAATGCAAAGACAAAACCATATATAAACAGGATCCAAAAACGCTGCCACCTTCTGTGGGCCTGAGCTCATTTAAAATAGACAGAGGTGAAGTGGAAAAGTGTCCTGTGGTCCGACAGATTAACATTTGAAATTCTTTTTGGAAATCATGGACACTGTCCTCCTGGATAAAGACCACTCAGCTTGTTATCAGTGCACAGTTCAAAAGCCAGTATTCATGATGGTATAGGGGTGCATTAGTGCACATGGCATGGGTGACGTGCACATCTGTGAAGGCACTATTAATGCTGAATGACAGATGTAGGTTTTGGCAACATATGCCGCCATCCAGATGACGTCTTTTTCAGGGAAGGCCTTGATTATTTCAGCAAGACAATGCCAAACCACATTCTGCATGTATTACAACAGCATTGCTCCATAGTAAAAGAGCCCGTCTGCAGTCCAGATCTGTCACCACTGAAAATATTTGCCGCATTGTGAAATGAAAATTGCGACAAAGGAGACCCCAAACTTTTGAGCAGCTGAAATCCGTTTCTTTTGGTCCATTCTTCATGAAATTTACACACAATATAAAGGACAACAGGCATTTACAAATTATGTTAAAAACTGAAAAAGGGCAAAAATGAAGATAAGAAATTTTCCTCTGACAGCAGCAATATATATATTATATTCTATATATAGAGGCTCCAGTGTATATACTACACACATTAACACATACAACCAGCAGCAGGCATAGAGCAGATAACGCTATCATATTAATGCAGGTCTCTCCCAAGCTGAATCACCTCTGTTCAAGTGCTTTGGTCTTATAAAGCTTAGACAGAGCCTCGGTTATCAGCTCATCAGGCCACACTGACCAGCTGCATGCAGTGCTCATCTTATCTGGGCAGACAGGAAGTCCACTCTGGGCCTTCGGGGAGCTGAAGGATGTTAACCAACTGGCGGCAACACATAGTCCTCTGTGTGCCATGGACACCCTACAGGAAGTGATGTCATTGGGGACAACTGGACACTTTCATCATGCAGGACCATATGAGTCAGGATGGCACACACATCACACATGACCGAGAAACACACTACCCTGTGAATCACAGAGGGAGACT